TCTCTCTATTTCTCACTGTTTGGCAGCTGTTAATTTTAGCGTTAGTCTTTTCCACTCTTATTTACTATTTACCCTCCACATGAAACCTGCCGCCGACGTCACCAGCTAACCAACCAAATAAAGGAAAGACGTCTATCTCAAATTATCTCGATTCGGGTTCTGCCACCTCTTACTTTCCAGCAAACAGAAGCAACAGCAGCGACGGCAGCAACCCACGTCGGTCCACTGCTGTGTAAACAAAAGCTGGGCAAAAACTTTGCGCTTTAGGATACAAATTCAGGTCGAGCAAGTGAGCAGTCAGAGCGAACCAGCCAACACCAGAAGGCAAACGGCACAGGTTCTATTTATAGAGCGAAAGTGAAATTCAAAGTGACCGATGGGGCGGGCAGTGGAGAGGAATACACAGAAGTGTGTAAACAGAGGCGCCATTTTGGAACAACAGAAGCCATCTCTCTTTCTCGTTCGCTCGCTAAGCTTCGGACACTCGAAGCGTGAAAAGTCGAATAGTCATTTTTCCCTCGGGTCAGCCTGCAGTTTCTACTTTTGCACCTAATCCACTTTGGCTACTTTTGAGTTCTCTAATTGCCGGCCCTGTCAACAGCCGTCAACGCTGCTAAAAGAGAAGGAGGAGGAGATTTTCGGGCGAAAATCGGCTCGGGCGCGCGCGTCATTTCGAATTGAAGGAAAAAGAAGTGGACTTTGAGATCTTTTGCGAGCTACTTTCTGGTCACCACCACCACTGACAAATTCGAAGAACTGTTCATTCCTTTTCCCCTACTTCAATCGGATTGTGGACGACTCCGAGGTTGTCGACTCTACTTTCCTCGGCTGCGGGCGAAAATTAATTTGCCCGCATCAACTTGTACGACAGCAGCAGAGGCAGCAGCTGCTGTCGTGCAGCAGCAGTAGAATCGAAGTAGAATTACATTCTGGTGTCGCCCGGGAGAGAGAAAGAGAGCTAAAGGACCTGTCTGTCGCCTGTCTAGTGTGTCCACTGCTGTGTTGGAAAATTAATTCCCAGCTTAGGAAGGAAGGAGGAAAAGGAAAAGCGCCTGAAGAGAGCTTGAAGTGGCGCCGCAAAACTGGGCATCGAAATGGAACTTGCCAATCGACAGTCAGAACAAAGGCAGCGAAGAAGAAGAAGAAGGGAAAGTCATGCGCGCTCGCCTGGCTTCAGCCTTCAAAGTTCGATCAGCCATCCAGTCAGCATCAGTTCGTCCATTATCAGCGATTATTGGCCGCAGCTTACCACCACCCAGCATTATTACACTGCTGTACAACGTGCTTAGCCGGGGTGGTAGTTGTACGGCCAATCACCACCATCATCATCAATACCATTCAATACTACTACCCTGGTCAAACTACTCGGTTGAGCTTCAGCTTTCATTCAGAGCTCGAGTGTGTGGGAGATTTTAGTTTGGAGAGTAGAAAGTGGAGAGTATCACTGGTAGCCTGGGACAGTGAGCTCTCAAACTCTCCGTATCTCCTCTTTCTCCCTTCTCAGCAGTTCAACTGTCAACCAGGCACCACCACCACCACCGCTGCCCGGGCTGTCCCAGACAAAGACGATATGAGGTGATAAGAGGGAGTGTGAGAAAGAGAGAAGGAAAGAGAAAGAGAGCAAAATGAACCAGTCAGAGTGTGGTGGTGGTGGTGTCGGCAAATGCACTCAAAGAGATCGGCAGCCACCAACCAACACACAACACACACACACAAAGACCGATTGAGCTTTGAATGACTGCTGCTGCTGGCCAGTTTGTTTGCCCATTTGCGAGAGTGGAAAAAGAAGAAGAAAGAAAGGAGGATTGATAGCAAGCCATCTAGCCAGCCAGCCTGGCTTACTCTACCAGCCGGTCTTTCTTTTTCTTTCTTTCCCTTAGCCTGCTTTCTACTTGCTCCCACTCACATACACTGCAAAAGAGCGCTCATGTACGTCACAACCAGAGCCTGAGCCTGAGCAGCACAGTGAACCAGAAAAGTCTGACACAGTGTCGCACACTCTCTCTCTCATTAATTGGTATAAGCCGCCGCTGCTTTGATTACGATGCTGCTGCTGCTGATGGATCAACACTGTTTCTCCAAGCAGCTCCTCAATGAGCTGAATGAGTGAATGAATGACTGACTGTGTAGCAGCTACGCAGCACCTGCTAGGTCTTCTCTCACTCTCTCCTAAGGGTACTTTGGCAGGCAAAGAACACAAGCAGGCGCGCGGGTGACACCAGACGCCTGACTCCGCCTTGGCCGCCGACGCTGCGAGCGGGGCGCGTCACTTACGTCCTCTGCGAGCGGTCTGTGGTGGTGGTGGTGCTGCCGAACAAGACACAACGTCCGAGGAGAGGAGCTCACTGGTGAAAGAGAAGAGAGAGAAGAGAACTCTCGCTCCAGCACGCTCGCTGCCACTGCCGCCGCTGCTGCTGCTGCTTGCCATCTTTGAGCTCTTCCCCTCGCCTCAGTAGTCGCTGTGTGTCCGTTGGTAGCACCACCACCACCAGGCAGTCAGTGAGCCAGTCAGAGTCAGGCCAGCCATTCCGCTCATCGCAAGCCGTCGTCGCTGCCGCAGCCGCCGCCGACGTCGCCAAAGGTTTCTCCTTCTCCTTCTTCTATCCCTCTTCTTCTACTTTTCATCATCGCCATCACCATCTCCAATAGCATCTGCATCAGCAACAGCAGCACCACCATCGCAGTCGCCGCCAGCGTCCATACAGCATCCAACAGCAACACCATCGTCGCCGACACCAACACACCGACGTCGCCGCCGCCACCACCACCATCATGGCCGAACCATTGAATATTGATAGTATCATATCTCGCCTTCTTGAAGGTAAGTCCTCTTCTTCTTCTTCTTCTTCTTGGTCCCCGATGTCCTCTTCTTCGGTGGTTCCAGCTTTGATTGCCACCAGCAGCGAGGTGCTTCTCTTTGTTGAGACACCAGCAGCAGCAGCAACCGCAGACATTGGCTCACTTTTCACTCGACAATACCCACAAACAACCAACTCGACGATATCATTGATCATTCCAGCGGCAGCGGCTCATGATGATGATTTTTCGCTGATGAACGCCGATGATTCAGGCGAATCCTGTGGTTACTGCTGCTGCTGCTCACTTGCCTGCCTGCCTGCCTCTCTCTCTCTCTTTGCCAGCCTTTCTCTGCTGCAATCCCCATCTATTTACCATTTTGCCTCTGTGCATGTTGTTTTCTGTCTTTTCATCATGTCTCACCCTTTCTTCTCTCCTTTTCCCTTCCCTTCCCTTCCGCCATGATTCTCCAAAGTCCGAGGATGCCGTCCGGGNTGATGAACGCCGATGATTCAGGCGAATCCTGTGGTTGCTGCTGCTGCTCACTTGCCTGCCTGCCTGCCTGCCTCTCTTTCTCTTTGCCAGCCTTTCTCTGCTGCAATCCCCATCTATTTACCATTTTGCCTCTGTGCATGTTGTTTTCTGTCTTTTCATCATGTCTCACCCTTTCTTCTCTCCTTTTCCCTTCCCTTCCCTTCCGCCATGATTCTAAATTGATCGAGGATGCCGTCCGGGAAAAGCCGTCCAGCTGGCCGAAGCGGAAGTCCGCGCGCTCTGCCTCAAGTCGCGGGAAATCTTTCTCAGTCAGCCCATTCTACTCGAACTCGAGGCGCCACTGAAGATCTGCGGTAAGTCACCGAAGCTACTGCAGGGTTTGCCTGTATACTCAATGCTTTTATTATTCCTATTCCTTTAGGTGACATTCACGGGCAGTACACCGATCTGCTGCGCCTGTTTGAGTACGGCGGCTTTCCACCTGAAGCCAACTACCTCTTTCTGGGCGACTACGTGGACCGAGGCAAGCAATCGCTGGAGACGATCTGCCTCCTCCTGGCCTACAAGATCAAGTACCCGGAGAACTTCTTCCTCCTGCGCGGAAATCACGAGTGTGCCAGCATTAACCGTATCTACGGCTTCTACGATGAATGTAAGTGTCTTGTAAACAGTGTGTGTGCGCGGCCTAGAGTTCTATTTGAGCACTAACCTTCTATTACATTCTCTACAACAAAACAGGCAAACGAAGATATAATATCAAACTCTGGAAGACATTCACAGACTGCTTCAATTGTCTGCCAATTGCCGCTATCATTGACGAGAAGATCTTTTGCTGCCACGGAGGTACGTCCTCAAGATCTGAATATTTGTTTTGGAGTG